CTAATACTCTCTTCCATTGTTCTCTATAGTGGTAAGTATACATGCAATTTCCCCCCCAATAAATAATAACTGATGTTGATAATAGTAATATTAGTTGATGGACATTCTAATTTCCTACAAATGGTGAAGCTTCTAGCTAATCAACCACTTTGAAGATAAGAAAAAAGTGAGGCTTATCCTGTGGAGAGAACACACACCAGCATCCTGGCTCTTCAATATGTCAAATCAATGAATTTATATCAATGCTAAACAAGTTCTGCCTTTATTTCTGACTTAATGTCATGCAGTCCTGATATTCAGCTTTCTTAAAGAACCGAATGTTTAGCTCTTCCATAGAATTTCAGATTAAAATGAAATAAGCTACATGAATACAAATAGGAGAGCCACATAAGCTGAAGATGAAAATCTGTGACCAGCTTTGCCATGAGCATGACTATAAAATAATGAGACTGAATTTAGAATGTGGCTTATAGATATTCAGTCACATCACTTTATAGTTAGTTAACCTATATGTTTCTACACAGCTCAACATGCATTTATTAAGTGTTTACTATGGGCCAGGCCTGGTGCCAGGAGCTGAGGATACAAAGGCAAAAATAAAAGTCCCTGCCTTCAACAAACTTATATTTTACTCCAGGGGTTCCAACAGTTATGCAACTAAGTAAATATAAGATGACTGGAGGAGAAAAAATTCAAAACTTGGAGGGGACAGGGATCAGAAAAGGTTTCATAGAGGAGGTAGCACCTGTGCTGAGCCCCTAAAAATAAAGGTTTTAAGAGGCAGAGGTGAGGAAGGCAGCATGGGGGACAGCCTGTACAAAGGAACATACAAGGGAGATTGTTGTTGTTTGTCCATCATCCTTGAAGAGGACCATGATATCAGGAAGGTGATGCCAGGACTCACAAGTGAATTTAAGTGAGAGAGGGGTCCAGTAACAAGATATAGATTAGGATGACTGGAGATGGCTCCCCACAAGGGAGATAGCATATTGAATAAGGTGAATAGTAAGCAAATCAGTTTGCCTGGGATGTGGATCTCATGGGAGGAGGAGCAGTAATGTGAAATGGAAGAAAAGGCTAGAGCCAGACAGTGAAGGGCTTTAAAGGTCTAGCTAAGGAATTTGTACTTTATCTTGGAGGTAATAGGAGGCCACTGAAGGGTTTTGAGTTGAAGAGTAATAGTCAGACCCACGTCTTAGAAGTGGAAAGGAATGGAAACAGGGAGACCAATTGGGAGGTTATTATAATAGTCCATGCCAGAAAGCCTGGCCCAGAGTAGTAGCCATATGTTTTATTTTCCACTAATTTATGACTGCAGCAATTTATTTCATAGTGTTTGGTTTGTGATCTTTATAACTCTTTCTTATTATGGGCATATGTATGGGTTTATTTCTTAGTACTTTATAAATCTAAGTTGTATTCTTCACTCTGGGGAATGTAAAAGAATTTATTTTGTTCACTAGTAATATATATATATATATATATATATATATATATATTTATACACATACATCCATATGCACGTTATTTATGACTATTTTCAGAATTTGGGCCTTCCTCACGGATCTTTGTGCCCTGGAAGTTTAACCTGATTTCCCTATAGTATATGAGCTAGAATTCATATGGAGAAGAATCTTGAGGAGAAAACCACTACAGCCTCCATAAAGTCTTTGATGCTTACTTAAGACAATAATCCAAGGCTATTCTTCTTGCACTGGCCAGACAATTTAAGTTGAAGAACTCCTCAAAAGACCCACATTCATATTCATTAACTGGTTACCATCCACTATTCCTCTATGGTTTTAATTGTATCTTGCTTTCTTGTATTTTCACCCCTAAAACCAGCTTGGAAGAGCTCCCTGCTTCAACAGTTATTATTCCACAGATAATTGTCCATTTGGACCCCAAAGGCTTATAACATTGAGATCATAAATAATTTTCCATATCCCTTTTGATAGTCAACCTTGAATAAATTGAGAAAGATTTCAATCACATTTCCTCATGTCTCTCAACCAATTACTATACGCAGAGACCCAGAAACATAGATGGGGAAACTGAGGTAATTAATAGTTAATAAAAAGAATGGATTACCTCTAACATATGTCAGAGGTGAAACTTCCTTGTCAAAAGTGAAATCTGGGAAGCCATCTTGGAGATGCTACCAAATCATTGCACCATCCCATTCTAGCTGCAGATTTGGAAGATCAGAGCAGCATTGTTCCCAATCCCATAACCAGATGTAAAAAATAACTTCTAGGAGCAGCTAGATGGCACAGTAGATAGAGCATCAGCCCTGAAGTCAGGAGGACCTGAGTTCAAATCCAGCCTCAGACCAAATACTTCACATTAGCTGTGTGACGCTGGGCAAGTCACTTAACCCCAATTGCCTAAAAAAGAAAAACAAAAAGAAAACCCCAAAACCTCTAATGAATCTCTTTTGGACACGTAAGTTTTAATGTGTGCTTCTTTCTCTCTAATGTTACCACCATAATCTCTTCCTTGGAGAGGTATTTGCTGCCAAATGTAGGAATTAAAGTGAGTAGGAAAAAAATTGTCTCCTCATTTTAAGCTTCTTTGAACTCACACAAAGAGACCCCACCCCTAACAGTTGCTATAAGGAGTAACCTTAATTTACTTTTTAGATGTAGAGAAGAGGTCAGAGAAATGTTGTTTGTGAAAGAATTTAGTAGCTTCCAAAAGGAAGATGGAGCAAGAAGATGGAAAGAAGGTGAGAAAAACACCTAGGATGAAGGGAAATTTGTCAAAAATAAAAGATATTCCAGAGGAATAATTCCTGGCTATTAAGATGCCAATATTTAAACAAGCTCCATGTCTACCATACTTATTTCTTCTGAAAGAAAAATAGCTACTGCTGGTTTCGCATCTTTTTAAATATTGTCATTTAAAACTGGGATCCTGCCGTGTTTCATTTTATTAGTCTTGTCATATCTGACCAAGTAAATTAAGTTCTTAGTGGAGAATGGTCTTGATCCATTGACCCTTGGGTTATTGATTGAATGTGTTTCTACTCTACCATTCTGCTATAGGCTTGGTCATGTCATGAGAGTGAAGCATAATGAATGGATAGCCCCTATACTTAACTGGTATCCTCTTGATGTCAAGAAAAAGGTAGCACACATCGCAGGCTTATGGAAGGATAAGGACAAGAGTCACACAATGGGAGTAGACAATCTGTATTGTTAGATGGTACATTCACATTGATAAGATCACAGACCCTTTTAAGTATTTGAGAAAAATCAAATACAAATTCTGAACTGTTGCACTCTGGACTAAGTTGTTTAGTTGAGTTTAATCCATTGTTTTGTTCTTTACCTAAGTATTTGTCAATATTCCTAAATGGTAAATATCCCTGTGAAGAAATTTGAGTATAATTCGAGCAACAACTTTGTCTGCTGTCCAAAGATCAACTTGGCACTGTGCCCAGATGGTCATGATAATGGGTTGGCCACTTGGCCTGTGAGTTCCTCGAGGTGCCCCTAAACATGGAACATTACTTTGATAAGTCATCCTGTTTCTGCAAAGAATTAGCTGATTTGGTTTCTTAGGTTGCATTTATTGTCTATTATGAGCTGAAGCTATATTTATCATAGGGATCATAAAATTTGGAGCTGAAAGGAGTTTGTTGACAATACAGTGTTGATTATTTAAAATAATTTGTGTTATTGGGTATCTCCATTTGTTAGAACTTTACTAATAGAGCCAAAGTATAAAGCAGAGATTATAGATTTGAGCCCATGTGGACCAAGTAGCTTCATTCTGTTTTACGGCCATAAACTTCATACTTAGGCCCAATCAATCATCTCACAAACTTGGACTATTGGTGGAAAAGTAGAGGAGGAAAATTACTGCAATTAAACAGTACAATAGTAAAACATGTTTGCCCTATTCATGGTAGATGACTAGCGTCATTTTCATATGGTAAGGATAGAACATCCTAGTACTTGCTATATGGGCTTGCAGCAGAAGAGATCAGGAACCCCTGATCTAGCTAAGGAGTTGTCCAAATCCACTGGATGAGATGATAAAGTATGGACCTTTGCTAGACTGAAATACCTCCAATGGAGTGGGCATGCAAATATGGCCCCTTGCTGAAGGACATGTATTTTTGCTAGGAGGGCATGGTGAGAGCCTCATTGGTTTGATGAGTCCCCAAAATCCACTTGATAAGGCAGCAGAAAGTGGATGTTGTTATATTGGAGAATCTCCCATAGAGCTGGACTTGGCCTCTTAATTTGGGGCTTGTTTCTTGTCTTGAGCTTCGACTGTCCCCAGTGACTGGGACTGTCTTCTGATGTTTCAACAAATAAGCAAAAGACAGCAAAATCAACTAGTGTATTATCTCTGTCACTCATGGTTGACCGGGGACCATGAAGACATACTGATTGGAAAAACTTGCCCTTCTCTGAAAAATCCAAAGAGAAACAGCTATGTCCATTGTTGTTAAATTTCTAAGTCAGATACCCAAATTGCACCCTGAGTGTCTTTTCTAGAGAGAACCTGTTACCTACATTCAGGTGAAATCACAGACATGAGATATATCTAAATATTCTTTTAGAAATTTCTCCAGAAGGGCATCTAAGGGTATTGAGCCAAAAAAAGAGAATCTTGCCACCACCCCCCCTTTTTTTTTTGGAAGACTTCATAAAGCATCAAGCAATTTAATGGGCATAATGAGATTGACAAAATTTTGATATAACTAATGTAAATTCCAGCATAGTTTTCTCTTACCACCATAAAGATTTAGAATGGAGAAAAATTCCCACAAACATTACTGTAACAAAAATTAACTGCAATAGATTAACTGTATGTCTTACTTAAGATTTAGAATGGAAGAAAAATACCCACACAAACTTTACTATAACAAAAAATAACTGCAATAGGTAACTGTATGTTTTACTCAGGTTTATACCCTAGGACCTTTTATGTAATGGATAGGTAATGAACAACATGGCAACACTATTCAGCAGATCTCAAGCCATTTAATCAAACACGATCCGGTAGCTGCGTTCCTGCTCCTTGTCATGACTCCTGCAAACCTTTGATACCTCTTCCACCTTCTGCTGCAACAGGGCTGAATTTTGATCAATCCGTTGAAGGGAATCCATATGTGCATTCAAAATGTTACAGATCTGCTGGAGCGGGTCGCTGGTGTCAGGAGGCCCTTCACACATATTCAGGTGCTCAATAATGTCCTTGAGGTCTTGGGCCATGCGCTTCAGTTGAGCATCTATATTCTCTGCTAGTTTATAAGTTTTCTCTAGCTCCTCATCTGCATGCTGCAAATAGATAGTTCCCCTCTGCTCCTTCACAGCCTCCTCCAGAGGAGCCAGCAGGTCCTCTAGTCCTTTCTGCTGTGACAGGATGAAGTCTGATTCTTGGTCCAACCTTTTCTGATCCAGCTTCACTTTCTCTACTGCTCTGTGTAAAGAAGTAATCTTCTCACCATTCTCAATTAATGTCCAGTCCCAAGCATTCATTGGGTGGCCTGCTGAAGGAAGTGTTTCTCTTGGTCCTCCAGTTCGAGACTCCATTTATTGATCAAACTTTCCAGCTGAGGGTAAGTCATCACAGGGGTTATACTTGGAGCTGTGGTAGCTGAGGGCAAAGTGGCACAGGTGGAAGGGATGATGCCAGTGCCAGGTGTACTCAGTGGCTTTAGATTCAAGGCAAAGCCTGTGGTGGTAGTTGAAGTCGTAATAGTGGTAGTAGATGTGGCTGCACTTGTCGAGCTAGGAAGTTTTAATCCAAATCCCAATACTCCAAGAGCAGGTGCTGCAACTGAAGTGGATGGGGCTCTAACTGAGAGGGTTGGGGCAGAAAAGACTGGAAGGGAAGAATTTGCTATGGAAGCAAACAATGTAGGCCTAGAAGTGGTGGTAGGAGCAGAAGTTGCTGCTGAGAGTTTTGGGCCAAAAGACAAGGCAGATACCTGACTGAAGGTTGAGGCTAATGATCCAGTGGGTACAGCAGTAGACCCTGCAGAGGCCAATAATCCAAATCCTAAACCAGAATGGCTGCCGCTCCCGCTCCCGACCTGGAAGTCCACCACCCCTTTTAAGAATCAGTTTCCCAGGGATCAAATCTGGGTCTACAAATCTAGTCTCCTTTGGGGAGCCTCTGGTCCACAGGGTACATTATGGAGACTCATCTAGGGTATGACCTTGAAAACAAATGTAAGAATTATTCCTAGACAAATGATCTGAAGATGGGTGGAGCTTTTCCCTTGGCTCTCTTACAGACCATAGAGGAAGAACTCTGAAGTTCTTGTTCTTACTCAGCTAATCAGCAGAAAACAGCGCTAGTCACTAGGAACAATCAGAAAAGCTCCAGGTGACCTCCAGAAAGGCACATGTCCCTCAGTAAGTGGCCAAGTCCAGCCTGTGAGAAGTACCTGCAGTCTTATCACATTGATTAGAGAGTCTCCAGATCATTTCATCATAGATTCCAATATAAGACACATCATTTTCCCAAATATGTTTTTTATAAACCTGAATGCAGCCTTTGTAAGAGAATGATAGTGAAAATGATAAAGAAAAAAGGGGATAAAAAAAATAACTGACATATTTATTTGAATGGCAGGAAATATATTTTAAAGTCACTTTTTATAGTAGACATATTATAATATTTCCATTTTGAACAATAACTTGATCAGTAAGGACACTTTAGCCAAAATATCCTTCTTGCTACTGAGTCCTATGTGACATTCAAATTCTCTCTTCCAGGCCTTTGCACAGGGAATGCCCTCCTCTTGGAAACCCTACTTCCATTAAAGGCTCACCTCAAGTGCTACCTACTTTAAGAAGCCCCCAATTATTAGTGTTACCCTCCCCCATCTGTATTTATTTTGTTTGGGGTTTACTTTGTTTTGTCATTAGGTTTTATTGGTGCCTTTTGCTTTCATATCATTTTCTTCTCTGAATAACCCTTCTCTCCCAACCCAGTGAGCCTTCCCTTGTAACAAAGGTGATTGATTACATAAACAAACAGACAAAAAATTGGTTCAACTAAGTCAACCAACACAGAGACCACATCAGACACTATATGCTTTTTATTTTGTTATCTATTCTATATTTATCTGTGAACATGTTGTATCTTTCTCCAGTAAAATATAAGCTTTTTGAGGGTAGAGACTATCCTTTTGTATTTGTATCCACAATACTGAGGCATAGGAGTTACTTACTTAATGCTTGTTGGTGGTTAATGATGGATTTTATTTTCTGGGCCTGTGATTTCATTAGTGTAGGGAACTTACCAATGCAAATGGGCACTGTGTCAATAATTTATAATCTTAGAGAATAACCTAAGTAACTGAGAATGTAAAGGAACTGACCACAGTCACATACATTTCGAAGTTGATAGTAGATGTTAGAAGCAGGATTTGAATTTAGATCTTCCTGAAACCAATGCCAGCCTTCAATACATTATTCCATGCAGTCAGTCAATGATGGACAATATTCCTTGATATTATAGGTTTTTAAATAAAAGAGTTTAAGTACTACTTGTGATCTAGCTCCTTCAAATCTCTAATTGCATTTCATACATCTCCTATGCAATTATTACATTCCAATTTGTAATATAGAGTATGTGTCCCTCCCTGTCTTATCAACCCAACTATCATTTAAATTCCCTGAAGATATTTTTGTATCTCCCACATTGCCTCTTGCCTATAGTAAGTGCTAAATAAATCTTCCTTGAATTTTATTTTTCATCTTCTATGTATGAACTAATTGTATTTAATCCAAAACTTCAAGATTTCTATTCACCTCAATTCACCTCAACTATTTACTTCTAAACAGTTACTTAAAAAACAAAATACCACATTCCTGTTCCTAAAGGAAACTTAAGCTAATCAAAGTTTATAAACACTGCCAGTTCAGCTATAGCTTGCTTCTTTCTTTCTTTCTTTCTTTCTTTCTTTCTTTCTTTCTTTCTTTCTTTCTTTCTTTCTTTCTTTCTCTTTCTCTCTCTTTCTTTCTCTCTCTCTTTCTCTCTCTCTCTCTCTCTCTTTCTCTCTCTCTCTTTCTTTCTCTCTCTTTCTTCTTTCCTTCCTTCCTTCCTTCCTTCCTTCCTTCCTTCCTTCCTTCCTTCCTTCCTTCCTTCCTTTCTTTCTTTCTTTCTTTCTTTCTTTCTTTCTTTCTTTCTTTCTTTCTTTCTTTCTTTCTTTCTTTCTTTCTTTCTTTCTTTCTTCCTTTCTTTCTTTCTTTCCTTCCTTCCTTTTTTTTTTTTTTAAAAAAAAGAGTACTTGGGGGCAGCTAGGTGGCACAGTGGATAGAGCACCGGCCCTGAAGTGAGGAGAACCCGAGTTCAAATCTGGCCTCAGACCAAACACTTGACACTAGCTGTGTGACCCTGAACAAGTCACTTAATCCCAATTGCCTAAAAAAAAGAGTACTTACTTCTGATTGTGTTTCATCAGTACTTTTCCATTTCTGAAAAAAGGTTAATTTTTAAAGTTAGTTTATTTATTTTTAGTTTTCAACAATCACTTCCATAAACTTTTGAGTTTTCAATTTTCTCCCCCTTCTTCCCCTCCCCTCTTCCCAAGATGGCGTGCAATCTGATATTGGGTCTACATACACATTCCTATTAAACATATTTTCACATTAGTCATGTTGTAAAGAAGAATTAGAACCAATAGGAGGAACCACAAGAAAGAAGAAACAAGACAAAACAGAAAGGGGGGGGAAGCAAATAGTATGCTTCAATCTGCATTCAAATTCCATAGTTCTTTTTCTGGATGTGGATAGCATTTCCCATCATGAGACTTTTAGAAATGTCTTAGATCCTTGCATTGCTGAGAAGGGCTAAGTCTATCAAAGTCAGTCATCAAACAACATGGCTGTTACTGTGTACAATGTTCTCCTGGTTCTGCTCACTTCACTCAGCATCAAAAGTTAATATTTATTATCAAGCTTGTTGACTTACGTAAAATCTTTTAATTCAGGATTCCTTAACCTCTTTTTGTGTCATAGGTCCATTTGGCAGTCTGGTAAAGTCTACGGACATCTCAGAATAATGCTTTTAAATGAATAAAATACAACTCATAGGATTATAAAGGAAATCAATTACATTGGCACACAATTACCAAAATATTTTTTTAAAAAAGCTCATGGATCCCATTAAGAACCCCTGCTTTATAATTAGTTTTAACAATGATAAAATGGACAGTTCCTATTTGTTGACATGTAAGGCTGGATTTTGTAATCTCTAGAGCACTTGAATTTATTTATAACCATGGTAGAATCAGAAGGTGATGGGGATATGAAATGTGCTATTAAATTCCTATTAAGCACATCATCATTCAATTGAATCTAACTCAACAAACATTTATTAAGGCACTTACTAGTAGCAAAGGCACTGACATATTTTTATTTGAAAAAAAAGATGAATGAACTTTTTCATCTCAATAGTTTTTTTTCTTAAATTTCAATCCCTTGCCCCAACTCTGTAATCTTGAAGTTGTGAAAATATTCACCAGCCAGGCAGGGTGGCTGTTCATTCTAAGGCCAAAAATTTTTCTTCTGTGTGGAACAGAGAATATTCTTTATCAAGAAAATACAAAGCTTCCATGGAATTTTGAACAGATAAGGAATTCCTATGTTCAAGGTGTGTTGTTTCTATAATAAATCCACAATGTTTCTGATTCTTTTTTCCTGACTAGCAAGGTCATCTCTTCAGTCAGTCAGGGAGAGAGAGACTGTACCAGTGATTTGCTTTTATCAGTTCAAGGGGAGGTAAGCATAAGTGGGTGGAAAAAATAGCTGACTTTAGTAGAGTGACTTGTCAAGAAATGCTTAGCTTCAAAATGTGGATCACTGACTTTTAAAGCCACATGGTAAGAGACAGCTTGGCCCAGTGTCTTGGAATCAGGATGACCTGAATTCAAATCTGACTACAGGCATCTAAAATTTTTCAACTGGGACAGCTCTGCAAGAGTGTAAGTTGCAAAACACTTGGTAATCAATTTGCAATGGAAGAGGGAGTTTCCTAACCTAACTGACTTTTCCTGCCCTGATGAAATCACATGTCCAGACCAAAATAGCAATAACACCCTAATATCTTATGCTGAGTAACTGACCACTCTTGGATCTCTGAATCTGAAAACTTTGGAGCTGAAGAAACTTTTTCAAATTTGTTTTCTAAACCTCTTAGTTTATAGGTTTACAGGTTCAGTAGTAGAGGACCAGGCCTGGAGTCAGGAAGACCTGAGTTCAAATCCAGCCTCAGATACTTACTAGCTGTGTGACCCTGGGCAAGTCACTTAGCTTCTGTTTGCCATGATCTACTGGAGAAGGAAATGGCAAACCACTCTAGTACCCTTGCCAAGAAAACCCCATGGACAGTATTGTCCTCAGATACTCACTAACTGTGTAACCCTGAACAAGTCATTTAACCTCTGTTGGCCTAAGTTTTTTAATCCATAAAATAGGGGTAATAATAGCAGTGCCTATTTCCCGGGGTTGTTGTGAGGATAAAATGAGAAAATGTTTTTACAAACATTTGTTTCCACTTTGCAAACCTTAAAGCAACATATAAATGCTACCTATTACATTATTATTACTATAGATGAGGAAACTGAGGTCCAAAAAAGTTAGTCATTGATTCATTGCATAGTTACTATTGAGGCAGTTAAATGGCAGTGGATAGAGTACTGTACCTGGAGTCAGGAAAACCTGAGTTCAAATCCAGCTTCTGACACTTATTAGATGTGTGACTTTGGGCAAGTCACTTAATCTTATTGGTCTCAGTTTGTCCAGTTGTAAAACTGTACCCACCTCACTGGGTTGTGGTGAAGATCAAATTAGGTAATATTTGTAAGGCACTTAGGACAGTGCCTGGCACATATAAGATACTTAATAAATGCTAGTTTCCTTCCCTCCTCCTTAGTAACAACTAGGACTAGAACTCATGTCTTCTAATTCTGTTCCTCTACTATTCCATCCTGACTTCAAAGTTAGGTTAAATATGGTGCACAGAGTGATAGATGCAAAGACCCATGGAGCTTTTTATTTCTTTGTGTATGTGTGTTTTTAAAGGATGTATTTTTGGATGATACTATCCGGTTTTATTTTTAATCATTTAATCCAAAAGCTAACAGAATACTGCTGAGTAGAGATTCTCATAATTAAGAATCAGGAATGAGCATTCTGATGTGTATACATAGTCACATTGAGAGCAATGCTTTTTTGAACTATGTCCACTTTATAGACCACAAATGTTTTTAAGTTGTACCTTCCTTCCCCTCTCCCCACCATTATAATGCCTCTGGGAGGTAGTCTGGTAACTTAATGAAGAAAGCTTCTATGTTGTAATTAATGAGTATAAGAACAAAACCCCAAAGGTTACTACTAAATAGACCTAGGATATTTTGATGGAACTAAGATAGAGAAGGGAAAAGCAGAAGAGACAATCCATGACTGCCTGATACTGTTAAGTAGCAAAACAATACAATATAATACAATACATATTTATTAAGTACCTACTAGGTGTCAAACACTGTGCTAAGCAATGGGGTTACAAATAGGAAAAAGAAAGACAGTCCCTGTCTTCAAGGAGCTTACAATCTAATGAGGAAGACAACACACAAAAGGAAGCTAAAAAGTAGAGGTGAGGGTGGTGGTAGAAGGTACCTGGGGCAAAGGAGCATGATGATGGTGGAGTTGAATCCAAGGAGTATAGCTGGTGGAAAATGAGGAGTTGGCTGGACTTCTGAGTCCTCTTTAAACTCGGATTTTGGGAGGAGTTTTTTGCTCCCACACTCAGAGGGACAGACAGTACTGTCCCTCTGAGAAGGGTGGAAATGAGGACACTTAAATAGCAAAACTGATGCAAATCTCTTTATATAAATAAAACTCCTTCATAAAATCCCTTAATAATACAGATGTTGAGACACAGGTGAATGTGGGGATGAAAGACACTTTGCCAACTGAGATGTCTTTTAGCTTGGCTTTTCACAATTTTTTTTTTTTGGTGAGGCAATTGGGGTTAAGTGACTTACCCAGGGTCACACAGCTAGTAAGTGTCAAGTGTCTGAGGCTGGATTTGAACTCAGGTCCTCCTGACTCCCAGACCACAGCTTTATCCACTGTGCCATCTAGCTGCCCCTTGACAACTTTTTAAATCTCAAATAAGTTACAGGGATACACAGGTCAGCCTTCACCACTTGCCTTATGCCAACCTTGGTCTGCTGTAGACCTTTTTTTGTTTGTTTACTTTTTAGCTCCTCAGTAGGTCTAACACCACAGTAGATTTGTGTATATATTTTTGCTTACTTACTGCTCTCTTTTGTTAACTACTACCTACATAGACAAGGGACAGAAGAGATAATATTGGAGGATTTAAGAAGGATAGCAAGACACACCTATCAGTAACCTGCCTCAGTATAGATGAAGTTAGATGAAATGACAGCCATCTGCAATTGGAGTAAAAGGTTTGGACTCCATCTTTTGGGGTTGCTGATCTCTTTCCTATATCCTCTCATTTCTTACACCACTCTTGGCAGACATATAAAAAGTCCTGCAGGATCTTAGGTCCTCAGCAATGTCACATATTAAAGGAGACAGACCAGTTCCAAGGGAGGCAGTTGGAAATGTGGTGAGCTTGGGGAAAGGATAGATCACACAGAAGAACTTACAAGCTGGGAGATGTAGTGGGACAAGTGCCTGACCTAAATTCAGGATACCTTGGTTCCTATCCCAGCCCTGATAGTTACTAGCTATTTAACTGTAAGCAAGTTATTTCACCTCTTTTCCAATTTCCTTTTATGTGTTGTCTTTCCCCACTAAATATATGCCCCTTGAGGGCAAGGATTATCTTTTTTTTATTTGTATTTATATTTCCAGAGTTTCAGCACACAGTGCCTGGCACATAGTAAATGTTTAATAAATGCTTATTGACTGGTCTTTATGAGCATTGGTTTCCTCATCTGTAAACTGGGGATGGTATTACCTAGACAACTTTTCCCCTAGGGTTGTGGCAAGTAAACACTTTAAAGTAGTAAAGAAATGTGAGTGATTATTGTTAATCAACAAATATTTACTGAATGTCTTCTCTGTGTAAGAGAATTCACTATCCTTTCTTCCTTTCTGTTCTTCTATCAATATACAAATATAATTTTGAAAAGCACAGAGTGAAAAGACATTTGGGTGTTGGTGGTGTAAGGGTTGTGAGTAGCTCTTTTTGGTTGTAAACTAATTTTTGATACCCCAGGATTTTTTAGAGATAAGAGGAAGTCAACTGCAAATAGAGTTATTATCTTTTTGCCAAAGTTTATCCTTGTTTTTGGTCAGTTTTGCCATTGCAAACAACCTAGCTAGTGTTCCTTCCTTTTCCTATTAGAACACTGAATTTAATAAATATAAATTCAACTATTTCATATTGTTGTCAATACTGGTTCACCTGCAGAGACATCCTACACCAGTCAGTTGTTCAATATATTTCCTTTATTGCTTCAACACAATTTGTTTGGAGGTTTTTATCTTTTTCTAAAAACTTCCTTCTAAATCTTGTCCTGAGAATTGGGAATCAATGGGTGGAAGATGCAGAGGCAGATTTAGGTTTGAATAACGTAAAGAAAAGCTTTCTAGGGGCAGCTAGATGGCACAGGGCATAGAGCTCTGGTCTTGGAGTCAGGAGGACCTGAGTTCAAATCCGACCTCAGACACTTGACACTTACTAGCTGTGTGACTCTGGGCAGGTCATTTAGCCCCAACTGCCTCACCAAAAAAAGAAAAGAAAAGAAAAGCTTTCTAACAATCAGTGCTAACCAAAATTGGGATGAGATACCTCAGGAGGAAGCAGTTACAAATGAAGGGCCAGAAGATCACGTTTTAGTTGTTGTCATTCAGTTGTTTCAGTCATGTCCAACTCTTCATGACCCCATTTGGAATTTTCTTGGCAAAAAATACTGGCGTGGTTTTCCATTTCCTTCTCCAGTTTATTTTATAGATGAAAAAAAAACTGAGGAAAACAGGGTTAAGTGAGTTGCCCAAGGTCACACAGACAGTGTCTGAGACCAGATTAGAATTTAAGGATGATGATTCTTCTGACTCCAGTCACAGCCCTCTCTCCACTTCAACACCTAGCTGCTCAGAAGATCACTAGAGATCTACAAATGAAGGAAGGCTAATCATTGTTAGGAACGTTATAGAAGAGATTGTTGTTCAGGTGTGGGTTGGATTAGTCAACTCCTAAGGTTCATTCTGATTCTGAGAGCTTGTGATCCTGCATTTAGCAACCCTAGACTTTTGGTTTCTAGGCTATACCTAGTAAGGGCTGCCCTGAGTGTGCAGTTTATCACTGATACAGGCATTCAAGTAGCATTTTAATAGCTACACTACTGCATATACATCTTCTGAGATTTGTTGGAGGAAAGGGCCTCATAATGTTGTTGTTTTGTTGTTTTTCATTCAAAGAAGCCCACAAAGGGACATTATCATCAGGAGAAATAACAAACACTCACCATAGCTATTTTCTTCTTGGAATCTAGATATTAACTAATGTTACTTGCGAGAGAGAGAATATTACTACAGGGATCATTAAATCTAGGGTTTATTACTACATTCTTAGGATGTTTTCCAACATACTAAATAAAATGAAACTACAAAATCAGAAGTTGCTTGTAGCTTGGATTGTCAGATTATTCTCTATGGAAGGAAAAGAGGCAGCCCAGAAAAAAGTGGGGATTACTAGCCTGGGCTCAACTGTCACCAAGTAGCAGAATGGCCTTGGGCAAGACATTTAACTTTTTTGGACTTCAATTTCTTACTGTGTGAATATAAGATTAGACTAACCTCGTTAAGATTACAGATCACAGAACTTGAAAAAATGGAAGGAATTTTACACCAACTAGTGCAACACTTTCAAAGAAGGAGAGGAAGAAACAAATACTTTCTTACTCTAGTTTTATGAATCTAACACTGTTGCTAGTCAAAGGAATACTTCTGCAGATCACTATGATCACATACCATTAAGAAAAAAAGGGCTTGGAAAAAGGCAGCTTTGGATGGAGAAGTATTGGTTGCAATAAAAGTGCCTTTTTCAAAACTTGAAGAGGGTTTTTTTTATTCCTCCCTAAAATCGATGCCTTTTCCCATTCCCCAAATTAAGAAACTGAAATTAACGTTGCAGGTACTTTGTACTTACATGTCTACCTAATAGTCATGCAATAGCATATAAGTCCCCGGAGGGCAGAGACAACTTCGGTTTTTGTCTTTCTGTCCCCAGCTTCCAGTTCAGTGACTAGCATGTAATTAGGAAATGCAGAATTAAATTCAACATTATTTATACTCAGTTGATAACTTTCTTGAAGGATAAAAACCTTGAACTGTGTTCTTAGTGTACCTTTTTGGAAAAAAAAAAGTAAAACTCAAAGAAATCAATTATTGCCAAAACTGATTGACTTCTCCAGGGATTGGCGTCCATCTTTCTAAAATAATAAGGAAAAATAGACACATTAAGGAAGGTAGCTATGAGGATAATTTGAACAGAAGATCTCTCTCACCCACCCCACCCCCATTTTATAAATACTTCTTCAGTCGGCACCCTCCCATTTTGGAAAACCCTGGATAAACCTCTAAAGCTGGGATATTCCATTTATTGTGTCTGCTGGAAAAGAGATGCCCCAGAAGGCGCGCTCTGTTCCCCCCCCCTTCTTGCCCCCAGCAAAGAGCTTTCTTGTCTTGGGATTTTTTGCTTCAGCCATTCCTTCAAGAATCATCAGCTCAAAGGGCGGAGCTACTTGGGTAGGGCTTCAGGTGCTGAGAGGAACGGAAGGCGTGAAGCCAGGCCAGGCTTGCAGGCTGGGCGGGCCTGGGAGAAACGGTGGGAAAGAACCTGGACAGCCTGCGCGTCTGTGAGACCGCCAGGAGCAGGGGGAGGAGCTGGAAGAAGACTGGGCCAGAGTTCTGCGCTGCTAGGTGGGGGAGGCGCGGCTCGGCTCTGTCGCTCCACCGCGCCTGGGTGTGTTCATTTAAAAAAAAAAAAAAAGACCGACGTAGAAGAAAAAGAAACCAGGCAGGTGTGGCTTCGCCTTTTCTGTGCCAGCGGGGAGGAGACTAGCCCTCCACCATCGACCAACACCAACACCCGGCGCGCACCCAGCTTCTCTGCTTCTCTACTCCAGCACCCACCCGAGAGCAACAACTTTTCCTCCTCTCTGGAAGCCAGCCCTCGTCACCACCACCACCAGCTGGGCGCTGCACCTTTCCCAAGCTCTACCCTACCCCGGCCCAGCCCCCCGGTGGGGTTTTCTTATCTCCCTTTTGCTCTCCCTTCCCCTCTTCGACCACTGCAGTGTACCCAACACTGCCCCTGGAGCGGCGGAGAGGAGAGAAAATCAGAATCAAAAGAGCTGCTGTCCGCTCCTGCAGGGGTCTTGGGAAACTTTTGGTCTTTTTTTTTTTTTAATGGTGAAGCTCCTTTGATTTCTTTCTCGCCCGCCCAACTTTCGCTTATGTCACAGTCCTAAGTCGCTCCATTGATTTCTGACCAAGATGAGTTGTAACGGAGGATCCCATCCGCGGATCAACACCCTGGGTCGAATGACCCGTGCAGAGTCCGGCCCGGACCTACGCTGCGAGATGACCTACGGAGGAGGTGGCTTCGGTGGTGGCGGCGGCGGCGGGGGCGGGGGATCCAGCAACAAGATGTATTATGTGAGGAGGTATACCGTGAACGACCAGAACTCCGACGGCTACTGGTGGGTACCAGCAAGGGCAGACTCTGGCCCTTCCCGGCGCTCGCTGGCGGCTGGGGAGGAAGGTTTCTATGGCCTTAGTTACCTGTTCGGAGAGGGGAGAGGACGTTTCCCCTTTTCCTAGGTAGAGAGCAGGTTACACAGGGGCAACTGCCATTATACTTCCAAAGAGCCTTGATTTCATTCTTGTGGGTACTCCCACCAAAGACAGATCTCGATCTTTTCTGTATCTTAAGAGACGAATTTAAATGTCCTAATTTTAAAAAAAACCAGCTTCCCCCTCCACACTTTATAAAAAAAAAAAGGGGGGGAGATTAAAGGAATACCGAAAGAAGTAAAGCAGGGGTCACTTTTCCTGTAGGAAGCCTGCGGAGTTTCTGTACATTGCTAGGGTGACTGATGGGAATGGTGTGGGAGGCGATTGTATGTATTTCACCTACAAACTTAGGAGACTGGTTTGGTTGGGACTCCGCCTTTGCTCAGACATAGTGGGTGTTTGAAATTAAGAGATCAGCTCCTCACCTACCCGCGAGAGGGGCGCGATCTGGGAACCTGCTTTTATTGTGGTTTAGAGGAGGAAGCTGGGGGAGGGGGAGAGGGAGAGGGAAAACAGCTGTCATTTATCCAATCCGCCCCTATAACTAAACTACTTGGGGTCTATTGCGGAGGAGGAGAGGAGGGACTTGGTGGGAAAGATGTGGTTTTGCCTCTGGGTTGTTTTTGGATCGCCTCTGTCTCGTTTGTCATTATTTCCTAGTACCTAGCACGGCACCTGACACTTAGTAGGCACTTATTAAATGGTTTTTGATTGGTTGCTTTGTTAGGAGACCAAGGTATGGTGTTAAAATTACACCGACTTTCCGTAAAATAAGCGTAAATTTTAAAAATTACAAAAGGAAAACAGATTTTCTGGGCACCCACCCCCGACCCCTCCGGCTCTGGTGTTTAGAATTGGGGTCGCAAATCTGCCATGTGCCTGTTCCCAGTATAGCTCAAATTTAGTTTTGTTATTCACACGGAAAGCCCAACAAAGCCCCCTAGAGTGCCTTAGGCAGGGTCTCCTCTGCTTACCTGCAGAGCCAGTGTAGGAGACGTAGATACTGGCGAGTCTTCACTTTGCCCATGTGCTGGGAATCCCTCCGTGTCATCCCCATTCTCTCCCTCATCCCCAGGGCTTGTCCAAACACCATTTCCCCCTCCCAGCCCCTAGAATGGGTCAGGCGCAGCTCTCATCTCTTTCCCTGCTAGAAGAAACTGAACCCATTCACGGTTTTGGAGGCATGCACCAGAGTTCAAATTAAGAGAGACTCGAACCTCTAAGGGACTTTCAGGAAAATTGGGAAACCCCGAAGTCATCTGTATCTCTCACTCCCTAACCTAAGCCCCCAGATGCTGCAGAGTTCCGCTCTCGGACTCAAGTTGCCCGGTGACAGTCGATGCCCCAGCCACCCCGGGAAGGTGGTGACTCGTATTGTCTTTTGCAATACTGATAAACCATAAGGAAAAGGGGAAACGCTTTAAATTGGTGAACAGGGTGCCTTTTGTTTGGTGCCATAGATCCTGTATCATCAAAGGAAGGTTTCCAGGGCAGTAAAGGCTCCCCAGAAAGTGTGGAGAGAGTTATTGAGAGCTGGTTGTAAAAGGCGATGGATGGGCCGCTGGCCCACCTCCAGCGTTGTTGTTAACTCTTGGAATGGCGTCCCGTGACTCTGAGAGGGCCACTTCCAGAGCTGGAAAGCGACGAACAAGTCGGATTATACGTGGGGAAAGAGCTCAGCTAATGTGATTTTCGTGATCGGGTTTCTCATGTGTTCCTTGGAGTTCGGAGCTTATAGTATATTCAGTATTTTGTTAGTTTTTCACTTTTATTAGTTTGACCTATCTCTTTCCCCCTTCCATGCCCTAGAAAAAGGAAGATCTGGGGTGATTTGCTCCTCGTAGTTAGTATTGTCACCTTAGGCTGGGGTGGAGCCGAACCAACCTGAAAACACTCCTAAGATTTTTTTGGTTTGAAAGTAGTTTTAAAATTTGTGTGGGATTATTAAAATTCTTAAACTACTTTCCACTTGGGTCTGATTTCTTTTACAAGTAACTTATTTGTTCTAGATATTTTTGTGGTTGGCTAAAAATGTCAATCATCTGAAAACTACCTTTGTCTGAATTAAAAGAACCTGGGATTTTTCAAAGAAAAAGAAGCCAAGCAAAAGAGGAATGAGGCTGGGACTTTCCTGTAGAAATTTTTATGTTGATTATTGAATTTTAAAAAAAAATTTGGCAACTTTAAAAGTCTGGCTCTCACCCCCTTTTCCTCATTTTTCCTTCATGTTACCTATATTCAAGATACACATTCTTTTTCTTTATCCGTGAATTTACACTCAGTCAAAATTTATAGAGAGGTTCTTGAAAGTCTTTCAATATAGCAGGGTTATTTAGTACTTAGCAAAGTTTTATTTCTTGAAAGACAGTGAAGGTTTTAATTTTCTCCTCTAGGTCTAAAGCCCAGAAAATGCTTCTTTAAAATGAAAAAATAATCAGCCATGTTAATACAATATTTTATCTTGACTGATTAAAATATTATAGAAAAGTGTTTTTTTATTTGTGTTATAAAATTCTTAATAATGATTGAAAGCTTTTCATTAGTTGTTAATAAAATGTTCTGGGAGATAACTCATTTTTTAAATGCCTAATAATTTCTTTTGTCCTGTTTTTTTTTTTCAATCTTACTCCTATTTGTGAATTCCTTTAATAATAGCAAGATTTACATATTCTATTGGTGGGGAAACAGACTTATATAAACAAATAATCTAATTTTCATGGAACATTGTTATTTTACCCATTGGCATTGATTTTTCTTTTTAAAAAATGATACCTGTAATGCAGCTTGGTTTGATGTCACTTGGCTCGATGTATACACAATCGAAGACTTTATTTGACATGCATTAGCATGCTCTCATTCTTTTGGACCATGTAATGTAATTTTGTTAGACCTGTTCTAACCTGTATTAGTGAGAGTTTAGTGGTGATGGGATTATCTAGGAGTGGACAAGTGGAGCATGGAAAAGAATAACAAATAACAAAAGCAATAATAATAACTTTTATGTTTTATGTATATAATATATATATATAAAAATCATAAAAGTGAATATAGGCATTCACTTTTTTTATACATCTGGAAACAATGGCTTGCAAATTTGGGAAAGCGCACTAGGAGAGAAGCTGCATGTAGTCTAAATCTGGGGGGAAATGTAAAGTTCACTTATACAGTGGGAGTGGACCCTCTGACTTAGTGTTTCTAGCACTATATTCCCTGAGCAGTATCAATATCAGGCTTAGAAAATCCTTTTGAAAAAAATTTTCTCCTCAAAACAGTTGATAATAACATATTGGAGTTAGAAGACCTTAACTGAGTTCCAAGCTTTAACTTTCATGAGGGTCATTTTTCACATACAAACTGTGCTCTCTCCTTGGAAGATTGCTGTGAGTTAAATGCTTTGTAAGCCATAAAACAGTGAATAAATGTAAGCTATTGTTTTTTGGTAAGGCTTTTTTCTGACTATTTCTCTAAAGTTTCTCCAAAGAAAACTATACATTATAGTTTTACATATTATAAACCACTTGAAAAACCAAGGGCTGAATTTGTTAAAAATGCTGTTTTTAAAATTACAAGTTGTATGACTGAACTAAACTAGTGACTTTCAAAATAATGGATGGCTTGACAGAATTTAACCTTTTCCCCAGTTTGGTTTGTGTAGAAGCAGCTGAAATACACCTTTCCTTCCATAATGGGTATAAGATAATTGCATTTTGTCTTTGCTTAGTTTTCTAATGTCTATCAGATTTTAAAAGAGTATTCTTTTTTTTTTTAATGGCAGCGTGTGTAAGGAACAAATCCATTCCCATCTTTAGGCTGAGTAGAGACTGTGTAAGCTGCATATAACCCTTTCTCTGCACCAGGGCTACATTGCTATAGTGCTCAGTAAATGTTCATTTAACAAAAATTGGACTACACTTAGAAAATTTAACTTTGAATTCCATTTACATGGTGTTGTTTGAATATTTTCTTTCATTAAAATAGAATTAACATTGTTTTCATTAAAATAAATCACAATTATATGCAATGCAATTTTTTCATAACAAAAACAAGGTAGTAAAGTGAATACCATCCAGGCTAGACTGAAAATTCAATCTGATACTTACATCCCTCCTTGATGTTAAGATGGATTTGCCCAAAGATTAAAAGCAAAACAATTGAGACATGTGTAGTGTTAATAATTGTTTTGCCCTGTGTAACTCTTTGATATTTCTTCTTTTAATTCCCATGGTTTCAAAATCCTAAGTTATGCTATTAGCTTGGTATATAAGTCATTTCAGCTTATTTATGAGACCTATAAGCATAGAATCTTAGAACGAGAAGGGGTGATATAGATCATCCAGGTTCAACCTTCTAATTTAAAATAAAATTAAATAAGAATGAAGTCCAGAATAGTTAAGTGATTTACTAAAGTTTAGTCACATAGCTAGTCAGAGCTTAGCTGAATCATAGGATAATAGATTCAGAGCTAGAAGGTACCTTAAAGGTCACCTAGTCCACCTCTTTCATTTTTATGAATGAGGAAACCCAGGTCCAGAGAAAGAGTTTACGTGATTTATTTGTACAAGGTTACTTTGGTAGTGGCACAATTAGGATTTCAAACTCAGGTTCCAAAACTACAAGTTTGTCACTCTTGTATCATCCTGTCTAGCTTTAGATCTCCAGATAGGCAGTCTCTTAATTGCATAATTAGGTGATTTAAGTGAATATTTAAGTGAAATAGCAAAACTATAAACAGGAGAAACTGAAGAATTTTAGTGCTCTTAACTCCTGAAATACAAATACACAAGCATTTTGATTTAGTCTGTGTGTTCTCCCTCCACTGATGCAGAGAGAAACCCCTCTGTGTTTTCCTAGATGATTTAATTGAGTTGCCGTGGTCAAAACTACGTACCAACCCTTTCATGATGAG